TTGACTCCTTGGAATCATCTCATGAGAACTCCTATGGTTGGGAAGGGTTTGGGGGGCTTTTTGGATCTCTGGTAATCCTTATTCCCTCCCCCTTCAGAACAACTTTCCAGCAAGCAGCCCAGAGAGGCTTCAGGATCTCAAGTCTACTGTCGACCTTCTCACCAGCATCACCTTCTTCCGGATGAAGGTAACAGAGGTCCCACCTGGGGTATGGTTAGCAGTCTCCTGGAATCTCCCAGGGACTCCCAGCTACTAGGTTATTATTATGATTATTATGATTATTATTATATTTTTTGCCTAGGGAGTGGCTCCATGCCTCTCCACCAGAATGTACCATACCACATCATCATGTGCCTATACCTCTGAACTGTATATCTTTCCCAATGACCTGATTTCCACTAGACAATTGATTCTCCTCCTTTGAAACTGGAATCTATTGGCCAGTCAGGCTTTATTTCACACCTGTATCCCCTCCTACTGTTCCAACTTCAGCTTCTGAGATGAGGACAGATCATTTCCTAGCCTTACCCACCTAGACCTATCTCTCCCATAGGTCCAGGAGCTACAGAGCCCACCTCGTGCCAGCCAAGTGGTAAAAGACTGTGTGAAGGCCTGCCTCAACTCCACTTATGAGTACATCTTTAACAACTGCCATGAACTCTATAGTCGAGAATACCAGACTGACCCGGTAAGGAAGTGAGACATGGAGGTGCTTCATGGGAAAGGGTGGCTAAGGATAGACCATGGTCCCTTATAAGATTAACCCTTAACAGAGACTAGAAATTGTATAGGCCAAATGCAGTTGGGTTAACTTAGGTTAAATTGGACAGGATAAGTATGAATTGAGTTGAATTGAGTTGAGTTGGGTTGAAGTGTGCCGAGTCATTTGAGGTCATATTTGTTTGGGTTGAACAGGCTGGGTTCCATTGAATTAGGTTGGATTAATCCATATTTGACTCAATTGAATTGTGTTCAGTTGTATTGGATTAGGTTGAGGTGACTTGGGTTTAATTGAACTGGGTTGGGTTGAGTTCAATTAGTTTAAATTTGGTTGGGTTGGAGTTAAAAAGTTGAACTGAGCTGAGTTCATTTTGGTTGAGTTGGGTTATGTTAAGTTATATTAGGTTGGATTGATTTGAGTTGAATTGGGTTGGGTTGAGTTGGGTTTAATTAGGTTGAACTGGGCTGGAGTTGGGCTGAGTTGGATTGTTTGAATTGGGGAGTGTTTGGTAGATTTGAGTTAGCCTGGGTTGGGTTGAGTTGAGTTATGTTGAACTGGGCAGGATCAGGTTGAATTGGACTGCATCGTGTTGGGTTGGGTTGGATTAGTTTAAATTGGTGTTGGCTGAGTTGAATTGAGTTGAGTTGAGCTGAATTAAGCTGAGACAAGCTGGGTTAGGTTGAGTTGAATCAGATTGGCGTTAGTTGAGTTGAGTGGGTTAGGTTGGCTTATCTGAGTACAGTTAAGTTCAATTAAGTGAACAAAATTCAATACAGAAAATATTTATTAAATGCCTACTGTGTAAAAGGCTCTATGCTAGGTACTCGGGATATGTATAGGAAACAAGATTATCCCTACCCTTAGTAGCTTATATTCTACTGGAGGGTGTGACAGATGAACATATGAATAAATATAAGCTCATTTGAAAAGGGATAGAGTATTAACAGTTGGAGAATTGAGGGAAGGCTTCATGAAACAAGGGATGCCTGAGCCAAACTTTTAAGGAAGATAAGGATTCTACAAGGGGGAGATGAGGATGGAGTACACTTATAGACATGGAGGTCTATTTATACAAATGTACAGATGTAGGAGATGGAAAGCTGGGTCTGAGGAACAGCTAGTGAGACAGGCTAGAAAATAAGATATATGAAGTGGAATAACGTGAAATAAGGAAGGAATAAGAGGAAGTTTGTGTATATCATTAAACATTGGGATAAAGAATTTGTATTTTGTCCTAGAGGCAATAGGGAACCACTGAACATATTTGAGAAACAGAGTGACACAGTTAGATCTGTGATCTAGGAAGATGATCATTATGCAATGATCTAGGGAGATGATGAGAACCTGAACTAGGGTGGTGGTCTTGGAAGTAGAAAGAAGAGAATGGATATCAATATGACAGGTGTCATGGAGGTAGAAAAAACAAATCTGATTGGGTATGGAGAGTGAAGGAAAGGAAAGAGTGTGGATGACTGAAATTATAAATCTAGGTGACTGGAAAATGGTAGTGCATTTGGTAAAAAGAGGGAAGTCTGGAGGAAAAGTGGGTTAACTTTAGGGAGTTCATTTCAGTACACTTCAATTAAATTCCATTGATTTCAATTCAGTTGAGTGAGTTTAGCTGGGTTGCTTTCAGTTGAGTTGGGATGCATTCAGGCCCAATCCAAATCTAGCAAGCATCTAATAAGCCCCTGCTATGTGCAAGGCGCTGTGGTAGATTGGTGACAGAAAGACAAGTTGAAAAACTATCCCTACTCTTAAGCAGTTTCTGTTCTATTTCTCTTGTAATATGTAAGCAGATAAGCATAACAGCAGCAATCAGGGGGATCAGGAAAGGCTTCCCTTAGGAAGTACCACTGGAGGGGCAGCTAGGTGGCGCAGTGGATAAAGCTCTGACCTTGGAGTCAGGAAGACCTGAGTTCAAATCTGACCTCAGATATTTGACACTTACTAGCTGTGTTACCCTGGGCAAGTCATTTAACCCCATTGCCTCACCAAAAAAAAAAAAAAAAAAAGGAAGTATCACTTGAGCTGAGCCTCGAATGAACCTCAACCAGAAGCAGAGGTGAGGAAAAAGTACATTCCAGCCTTGCAAAAGTGCATAGGCAAGAGATGGAATGCCAAACTTAGTAAACACCAAATAGGCCAGTTTGATTGGAAAATGGTGTGTGAAGAGGTAATGGGCACTAAACCTGGAAAGGTAGCTGGGAACCAAATTATGAAGGGCTTTAAATATCATCCTAAGGAGTTGGGATTTTTATTCTGTGGTAATAGGGAGCCAGTAAAGATTTTAGAGCAGAGAAGTGACATAGTCAGGATTGTATTTTAGGGAGATTATTTTGATAACTGTGTGGAGGATGGCTTGGAGAGAGGAGAGACTAGGAGCCTGGATTCCACAAAGGAGACTGTTGTAATAGTCCAGGCAAGAGGTGATGAGAGCCTGAACCAGAGTGGTGACTATCTGGGTGGGGAGAAGCTAGATCTAACAGACGCGGTGGAGGTAAAATCAACGAGACTTGATGATTGGCTGGCTATGGAAGAAAAAGGTCAAGGATAACTCTAAGGTTACAAACCTGAGTAACTGCAGGAGGGCAGTGCCCTCAACAGAAGCAGAACCATTTGGAGGCAGGGAGAGTTTCGGGTGAAAGATAATGAGGTCGGTTTTGGATGGGTTGACTTGGAGATGGCGTAACGTCTGTGGGGCATCTGGGCAGTTGGTGAGATAGTGCTGGAGGTCAGGAGAGAGACTCAGAGCAGATGTACAGATCTGGATGTTATCTGTGTAGAAACTATAACTGACCCCATTAAAGGTGATTGAGATCACCAAGAGAGAGGGGCTAGGGAGAGGAAAGAAGAGGACCCAAGACAATAGTGTCCCACAGATACACGGGGGTGATGTGGATGTCACACCCCTTCCTGTTCACACTCCTCTTCAAGAAGCCTGAAGAAAGAGGAAGGGATTCTCTGTATTATGATGGAGGGATGGACTCTGTAGTTTTGGGGAAGGGGATTCAGGAGTGAAGAATTCATTGGGATTATGACCTCTGGGACCACCCAAACATCACATCTGAATTCCCTACTTTCTCAAAATGATGAAGCATCTTCCTCCCCTTCCCTGTCAATCCACAAAATAAGCAGATCGAGATGATCTGTCCTAGTGGTCCTCATGATAGACATCAACGTTGACCTTTTCAGGCTAAGAAGGGTGAGGTGCCCCCGGAGGAGCAGGGACCCAGCATCAAGAACCTAGACTTTTGGTCCAAGCTCATCACACTCATTGTGTCCATCATTGAGGAAGACAAAAACTCCTATACACCCTGCCTCAACCAGTGAGTGGAGGAAGGGGAAAAGATGGATGTGGGTGTGGGCAAACCTTGCAAATGTGTGTCAGTGGGTGAATGTGCATGGCAACGGGTGTTTAGAAAGGGAGAGGCAGAAGGGGGAAAGGGAGAGAGGAAGAAAGAAGAGACAGAGGAGAGAAAGAGAAATTGTGTGTCAATGTGGCTAACTAGAATTGTGTGTGTATACAGACATATATGTATGTATGTGTGTGTATGTTCAGTTGTGTTTTTCAGTCATGTCCGACTCTTTGTGACCCCATTTGGGGTTTGCTTGGCAAAGATACTGGAGTGATTTGCCATTTCCTTTTCCAGATATATACATATACATATATTGTGTGTATATATAAATTTATACATAGTGTATATGTGTGCTTGTGTCTATGTGGGTAATGACTCATATGCATAACTTTGCACATGTGAGTAATAGTATATGGGTGCTTATTTGTAGGGAATTGTGTGTATGAATATCATATGTGTGTGTGTGTGTTGTGCAAGGTGCAATTGTAGACATTCAGATAGCTATGTGTATTATCAAATCAACAAACATTTATTAAGTGCCTTTTATGTACCAAGTACTATGCTAAGTGCTGGGTATGTGTGGAATTGTGCATGTGTGAAGCTGTTCAATTATATGCACCCGTGTAGTTCTGTGTATGAGATCCACCCTATACCCAGGACTTTGAGTGGAGGAAACTGAAATTTATGGTGAAAATGAGCATTTAGTGTGAGTTAAAATGGGATCAGGCTGACCAATATTGGGAAATCAGCAAAGCAAAAGGAGATGAGCATATACTATCTTCCCCAGAGGAGAGATTGTTGCCCAGGAAAGGGGAGGCAGCTCAGACGGTGAAGAGGGAGTAAAGATGCTAGGCTCTGCGAAACAACAGGGTCCTAAGTCTAGGAATTCAGAGTCAGAAAGAATAGGGGCAACCTTCAATCCTAGGACACGCCTTCCCTCCCCCCACCCGCCTCTCAGCTGTGTTCTTATTCTGCCTATTGGGTGTGGGTGGCTCTGGGCTCAGAGGTGATCATTAGAGCCTGAAGGAGGTCAGAGTCCTATGGAAGAACCATAAACCACAGGACTGTAGACACCCTCATTTTACATATGAAGGAACTTGGGCCAGAAACAGCAAACAATTTGCCCAAGATCTCACAGACAGTAAATAGCAGAGACAGAATTGACATCTACATCCCCTAGCTCCAAACCCGATCCTCTTTCTGAAGTGACCCCAATGAAAGGGACAGAGACAGAGACAGAGAGAAAAAGAGAGAGACAGACAGAGAGACAGAGAATGAGAGAGACAGAGAGACACAGAGAGAGAGACAGAGACAGAGAGAGAATGAGAGAGACAGAGACAGAGACAGACAGAGAGAGACAGAGACAGAGACAGAGACAGAGACAGAGAGAGAGACAGAGAGTCCAAGCGTGTTCTATCTATGTAGAGAGGATGGAGAAAAGAGCAAAGAGGGAGAAAGCCAGGGGCAGCAGAGGGAGCCCCCTGGTGGCCAGCTCCCTCATCTCAGCCTTTTCCTCGTGTCTCCTTCCCCTCCCACACTCTTTTGCGAAAGGTTTCCCCAAGAACTGAACGTGGGCAAGATCAGTGCGGAGGTGATGTGGAACCTGTTTGCTCAGGACATGAAGTATGCCATGGAGGGTGAGGAACCTTTCCCCAGAATCTCCTATTCCCCTGGGTGGTTCGTTTGTCCCCCAACCCTTTGCCTGGACTGGCAGGGGACAACAGGGCTCTCCCTTTGCACAAGCCCTGTGAGCTGTAAGCAAGACCTGCTTCCTTCCAGTCCCTGCTTCCCAGGCCTGGAGAATTCCTGGTTTCTAGGAAAGCAGAGTACTTAGAGAGGAATCTTAGAGATCGCCTGGTCCCGTTCCCTAGAATTACAGACAGTAACAATAACAACAACAGCTCATGTTTATATAGGGGGTGTTACAAGAATAACAATAAAAGCTAGCATTTATACAGGACTTGAAGGTTGGGAAAGCACTTTCCATCCATTGTTTCATTCCACTTTACATGTTATCCTCTTTGATCCTCTCAATAACTCTATGAGGCAGGTGCCATTATTATCCCCATTTTACTGATAAAGACACTGAGGCTCAGAGAAGGAAAGAGTCTTGCCCAAGGTCACACAGCTATTAAGTGGACGAGTTGAGTCTCGGGTCGAAGTGAGGATTCAAACACAGATCCTCTGACTCCAGATCCAGCCTTGCCTGGGGTTGAGGCTCAGCCATGGGCTGGGGGAAGAAGACAGGACGGGCCTTTTCTCTGAGCTGCCCTGCTTCCTATCTCTGTACCTTGCTCCTCTCCCCAGAGCATGACAAACACCGATTGTGCAAAAGTGCCGACTACATGAACTTGCACTTCAAAGTCAAATGGTTGTACAATGAGTACGTGACCGAGCTGCCCTCCTTCAAGGACCGTGTGCCTGAGTACCCTGCGTAAGTCATCCTGCTCCCCTCTCCTGAGCTGGGCTCTGTGGGAAAAAGGGAGAGGGAAGACAATGGATTGCCCATCATTCCCTGACCTGGGATAGGTGCTGCAGAGGAAGCTATGGGAGGGAGGGGGTCACTGTCCTGGCACGGATGCATTGGGAGATTATGGGAGGTGGGGACTGAGAGTAACTGGGCCGACATCTCCCACTGCAGGTGGTTTGAGCCCTTTGTTATCCAGTGGCTGGATGAGAACGAGGAGGTGTCCCGGGACTTCCTCCATGGAGCGTTGGAGCGTGACAAGAAGGATGGGGTGAGGCAGGGAGCCACGGCAGGTGGGGAGTGAGAAGGAAGGTGTGGCTCCCCAAGCTTCCCTGACTCACCCTAAAGGCCAGCCTGGTGTTTATGAACCCATCAAAGTATCTAACCCAGTCCTTTTCTCCCAGCCCAGTCTTGGACTAGCCCTGGAGCTGATTAGTCTTAACTCAGACATTTATCTCAGATGAGTTTGGTGGAAAGATGATATCCCCACCAAGGACAAGGTCAGACCCCAGACTTCCAGCTTCCTTGAATGAGCATCAAAGACTCACCATTCTAGGACACTCCAAGGATCCAGCTCTTCTCCAAGTCCAGGTCCTTCTGGAGACCCCCGTCCCGTCACTCCCCAGACCTAGAATAGGGCTTCAGACACCCTCCTTAGGCTCCAGGAACCCAACCATGGTCTAAAGGACACAAGCCTGAATTCCCTTAAGGTTTAAGACTGGGGTAGAGTGGAGAGCAGTCTCACAATGTGGAAAGTGCAGGTCCTATGTTCACCCCACTTCCCATACACACTTCCTCAGTGTTCACTCGTGCCAAGTAGCTTCTGTGCCCACTAATACAACCGTCTTCTTCATTCCTTGTCCCTCTACAGTTCCAGCAGACCTCTGAGCATGCCCTATTCTCCTGCTCCGTGGTAGATGTCTTCTCCCAGCTCAACCAGAGCTTTGAGATCATCAAGAAACTTGAGTGTCCTGACCCCCAGATTGTAGGCCACTACATGCGCCGATTTGCCAAGGTACTGGGGTCAGATGGGGTGGGAGGAGATTAGCCACTAGGAGTGAGAGTTAGTGTAGGAAAGGATTCAATCTGCACTCACATTTTCATAGACATTAGAAAAAATATCTAGATGAGATCTTTCATATGGGAAGAACTTACACCAAGAGAAATCCCTATATGATGAGTTTTCTGGACAACAGGAAACTGGATTGATAGAGAGGGAAAAGAAGTAGGCATTCCAGCAGGAGGGCATGTCCTGAGCAAAAGTGTGGAAGCAGGAATTTGCTTGGCTGTGAAGGATGGGGGGGGGGTAGTGACTAGAAGGACCTGACTGGAGTGGATAAGGCAGCCATGCATTTCAGGCCAGATTGTTTGGCAGTGAAGGTACCAACTAAACATAACCATCTCCCCTGTTTCCTATTTGAGCCAAGGTCAACCATAGTCAGTGTGACCTCTCTGAAAAGAATTTTCCTCATTTGTAAAACAAAGGGATAAAACTAAGTGATGTTTTGGGAATCTTCCAACTCTAAATCTCACAATCCTAAAATGAAATGACATTTGGGAACTACGTCGGAAAAGCCTTATAATGCTGTATACATTTAAATATTATCATTACCTAGCTTGAATCTTTCTGGAAGTATTTGGAGAACCATTGAACTTTAGTTTAGAAGGTGCTTCCTGAATCTTCTTCCCTGGGTTTTCAGAGCCCTCAATGGATTGACCATCCAACTAAATGGCTTTTTATCATGCAGTCATAAGGGAACCTCAGGGATTAGTGAGGTTAAGCAGGAATCCCCCCACTACATGCTTGGTGAATGATAATTGAGCCTCCAATTGAAAACTTCCAGCGATACTACTTCTCAAGGCAGATCTTTACATTTCTGGATGGTTCTAATTGTTATAAAATCTTTCCACATTTCAAGCCTACATCTTCAACTTTCCCCCATTGCTCCTATTTGACCATCACTAGGGCCAAGTGGAATAAGTTTGATCTCTCTTCGATTTGAGAGGCCTTCAATTCCTGAAGAGAACTATTATGCCCCTCCCTCCCCCCAGATTTTCTTCTCCAGGCTAAACATCCCCAGTTCCTTCAACTGATTCTTCCATGACAAAATTTCCAATGCCCTCACCACCCTGGTCACCCTCCTCTGAATGTTCTCCAATTTGTCAATGTCCTTCCTATGATATGCTGCTAAGAAATGAGGACATATATGACCTGACCAGAGCAGAAAACAGAAGGACTCTGATCTGCCTTGTCCAGGACAGAATGCTTCTGTTAACACAACCAAAGAAGGCATTAGCTTCTGGAGGTTTCCATATCATGCTGTTAACTCTTGTTGAGTTTGGAGTCTTTTTCACATTAATTGTCCATGTTTCTCCATCCTATACTTGTGCCACTGATCTTTGTTTAACATAAGAGAGAGACTTTACATTTACCCTTGTTTAATTTCGTTTTATTAGATTTGACTCAACATTCTAACCTTTCAAAATCTTTTGGGATCCTGATTCTTAATAGGCAACATGTTAGCTAATCCTACCAGCTTATGTCATCTATAAATGAGAATTCTATATGTACCTTCATTCAGGTCTTTGAAAAAAATAAACAAAATAGAGATGGAGACAGAACTCTGCTCTCTCCAGTAGTAAACTCCCACAACGTTGATATTAAACTATTAATTGCCTCTCTGAGTCTAGTCATTCAACCAGCTCTGAAATCAGCTTTTACAATCTAGTCAATATGTCTCCATTTTATCTACAAGGATACTATGAGACAGATTTGATGAATTCCTTGTTGAATGAAATCTAGCTATGTTGTGACTAAAGCATTTTCTTGACCTACCAATCTAGTAACCCTGCAAAAAAAGGAAATTATATTAGACTGGAAAGATTTTTTCTTGGGAAATCCATGCTGGCATGTTGTGATTGCTGCTTCCCTTAGTAAGTGCTCACAGACTGACTCTTTAATAATCTACTCTACACTTTTGCCACAGATTGACATCAAGGTCACCAGCCTGCAGTCTGAAAAGCTATAGTTTTTCTTCCTTTCAAAATCCACACAGTGTTTGCCTGTCTCTCTTCCTGAGATACACCTCTTTCACAGCCAGACCACCAAAAACTCACAGATGTATCTCAGTACCCTGGAATGTGGTCTGTCCAGGCCTGGTGGTGTGAATTCATTGTGAACATCAAGGGGCTTTCTTTCAAGCTCCTCATTTACCTTGGGTTTCAATTTCCTGTTAGCCATTTTTACTCCTATCATGCTGAAGGTTGAGTAGTTCTGCTTTCTCTTTGTCCTTGTCTCATCTACTACAAATCCAACTCTGTTAGGATTTCCCTATGTGACCTTGGGCTGGATGACAGTAACCAGGGGTGCTATCTATGCAGTGGATTCCTGTTCAAGAATAGATGAGACCAGGTTTGGTCTCTGAGGTCCTTCCCAAACTCTGAGGTTCCATGATTACAGATGTGCATTCCATCCTTGCCCAAGAGATCATCATTCCTATAGCTAAAGTCATGATGCAGAGACCCAAATCTTGTTCTCTGACATCATCTTCTTAGCCCACTGCTCATTTCCCAAATCCCACTTTCTCTTCTGAAACCTCTACCTTTACTAGGCAGCAGGAATGAAAACACCACCTAGGCACCTAAGGTCTTTAGCTTCCGGCCCAGCTTTTCATAATCCTAAAGATGATTCCTAGTTTCTTTATGGTGGTATCATCTGTCAGCACATAAGTCACAAGAAGGTAATAGTGATTGTTGAGTTTGACAGATCTTGGAAGGCTTTTTGTCCTGTCCTGGACTCCTGTCCCCAGGAAGACAGAAGAATTCCCAGTTGGTGATATCAGGTCAACATATAGCAGCTGCCGCATCCCTCAGCAGCGAATCACAAACCAACAGGGTACATCTCTTTATCCTGTGGCCAATAATGGAATCTTCGTGATTGGTATCTTCATGGATCTGGGTTCTTTAGGGAATGGGGATTCAATTCTCTCTTCAGTTTTATTAGACATCATGATCTATAACGAGCTCAGCTCCTGATAAAATATAGCTGCTTAGGCAGCTAGGTGGTGTGGTGGATAGAGTGCTGGACTTGAGTCTTCCAGGATCAAGACCCTTAGCTGTGTGAATGAGGCAAATCACTTAACTGCTATCTTCCTCAATTTCATCATCTGTAAAATGGGGATAAAAACAGCACCTACCTTGCAGTGTTGTTGTGAGGATCAAATGTGATATTTGAAAAGCGCTTTGCAAACCTTGAAGCAAAACAGAAATGCTAGATGCTAACCGCTACTATTATCATTATGGGAGTCGGTTCATGGCCCTGACCCCTTTGCTCTTGCCTCCTGTCCCACAGCCATTGGCAGAGCCAACTGATCCTCACCCTCCATGTGTTGTCTCTGTGCTTTCCCCACAGACAATCAGCAACGTCCTGTTGCAGTATGCTGAGATCATCTCCAAAGACTTCACCACCTACTGCTCTAAGGAGAAGGAAAAAGTGGTGACGTGTGCTCCCCTTCTCCTCCAGCTCCTGGGGCCCTCCTTGCCCACTCCTACTACATCACCCCCCCATTTGGGTCACACAAATCTGAACACGTGTGTGTGTGTGTGTGTGTGTGTGTGTGTATGTATGTGTTCACACATGGTAATGACTGCAAGTATCTGAAGATATATGAAACAGCTTGTGGTGTGGTGGAAACACCACCAGATTTGGAGTTAAAAGACCTAGGCTTAAGCCTTTGCTCTGTTAGGACACCACCTTATGACCCTGGGCAAGGCATTTTTAACCTTTGGGTCTTAGTTTCCTCATCTATAAAATGAAGGGGAATTGGATTAAATGATCTCTAAGATGCCTTCCAACTTTAATTTCTATGAGTCTGTGTAAGAAGTAGACAGAGACAGACAGAGATAGAGAGGGAGAGAGGGGAAAAGGAGGGTGAGGGGGAGGAAGGAAGGAGGAGAAGCAGATGGCAGATAAATATCAGAAGGGGGTATACATTTGTGTTGGAGTCTGAGAAGAGCTGAGTCTGAGGGTGTGTGTCTATGGGGGTCTATCTATATGGAGTGTTTTAAGACTACAACCTAACTAATAGTAAACATTTAGACTATCCATTAGACCACCATTTAGATAGGCATAGAGGCTAGAACTGTGATTTCCTTGGTATAGGGAACTCCCTAGAGGGGAACTCCCTCTCCCAATGAAAGTTAGCTGCTTCTTGGTAATATATGTTCTTAGAATTGCCTAGTGTCTTAAGAGGTCGAGTAGGGGCAGCTAGGTGGCACAGTGGATGGAGCACCGGCCTTGAAGTCAGGAGGACCTGAGTTCAAATCCGGACTCAGACCAAACATTTGACACTTACTAGCTGTGTGACCCTGGGCAAGTCACTTAACCCCAACTGCCTTAAAAAAAAAAAAAGAGGTCAAGTGACTTGCCCAGGGCCACTGACCAGTATGTGTTAGAGGCAGGATTTAAACCCAGGTCTTCCTGACTCCAAGGCTGGCCCCTCTATCAGTTCTGCTGCATTGACCAGTCCAGCTGCGATGTGGTTCCCAAGTGCATCCTTTCTTCAATCTTTCACAATCTTTATGTATGGCCTTCCTGCCTCTTACCTCAGACCTGCTCCATAGATAGATAGATAAATATAGATAGATAGATAGATAGATAGATAGATAGATAGATAGATAGAAGGATAGATGGATGTAGATGATATAGATATCTATATAGAGATATACACATATGTACCCATACACATACATATACATACAATATACATGCATGTCCATATACAACACGTGAGCATGCTCTCCTTTGGTCACACCCCAGAACTGTTACTAGCAAGCCATACGCAGAAAGCAGGGTACCAAAGAGTGCACTTCAGCCTCTCAGAGGGTATGTACCCCACCTTTACTAGACAAGCATTCAGAGATTTGGAGTAACTTTTGAGCAAAGATGTGTTCTATTTCTTTAAAGAAAAGCATGATGAAACCAGCTCAGAATGCTCTCTTGCCTTGACCCACTCCTCTTGAAGGAGCGATATCTTAAAAGTGCTTGGGGTGGAGAGGGAAGGAGGGGAAGAGCTTTTCCAAGGAGGCATTATTTAGACCCACATCGCTTCTTCTCCACATTTATTTCAATCATACCAGACATTTAATTCAACCCCTTGGATGTAGTATTTGTGTATGTGTGTCTGTGTGTCTGTTTGTCTGCAGGTGCATTTTTACGTCTAAGGGTGGATGGGTGTGTACAGAACGTATAACTGAGTGCCTGGATATGACTAGATGTGCCTGTGGGTGACTTCCCTTTCTCCTACACCCAGCTGCCTCATCTGCCTACTGTCTCCATCACCTCCCTCCCTCCCTTTCCCTTACTTCACTCCCAAAGTCCTTTTTCTATTCCTTTCCCTCAGGCCCCAGCTCACTTGGCCACTGTCCTCAGTCCCTCCCATATACTAGAGCCATAACTTACACTCCCTTACCAGAAGGGAGCATGGCTCTGTTACTCTATCTTCTTCCATCTCTGACTCAACTTTTGAGGAATCCTAGAGACCCCAAAGTCCACCTTTAGTTTCCAGACATGCTGCTAAATCCCAGTGTGATGCTGCGCATATCATCACCCCCCATCTAGGTCTTTGATTCCCATCTCTGCCTAAGAACTCTGAAGTAACCCCAGCCCCTTCCCTGTTGCCTGGGGTGGAAGGTGGGGACAGGGGTGCTGGTCAGGGGTCTCTCATGACCTGTGCCTGCAAGAAGAGCCCCAGGGTATGGATTCTGACCCTCTGGTATCTCCTGCCTCACCCCACAGCCATGCATCCTCATGAACAACACACAGCAACTTCGGGTGCAACTGGAGAAGATGTTTGAGGCCATGGGTGGGAAGGAGGTAAGACTTGACTGGAGGGAAATGGGAAGATCAGGGGCCCCAGATGTGCTCTCTCTGATCCACTGTGTCTACAGTGATCTCTTCTGTTCTCTCTGATTTGTATCACCTCGGAACTATGACCCTTTAGACTCCTCATCTCCTCTTATCCAGAACTAGGTCATCCAATGAGCTCCCTAGGCAAGTGCCCAAGATCAGTGGAAACAAAACTCTTAGCCTGGGTCCTTCTTCTTCTTTTTCTGAATCAAGAGCCCTGAGGTAGATGAGTGACAGCCAGGTTCCTGGCTCCCTCCTCCACCCTTACTCCAGACTCACTCAACTCCATTTACCTTGAACACCAAGAAAGAGGTGACTGACCAGGAGGGCTCATGGGACGGGATCAAGAAAGGAATACAGACCCTCCACGGTATTGACAGGGGCCAGGACTAGGAAGAACTTGAAGATAAATAGACAGGAAAGTTTCCCTTTCCTTGTTCCCTGTAAGAGTTGCCTGGATGAAAGCATTAATGATGGATTTACCAAATTCGTAGAATGCACAAAGTTCAACATCAAGGGCAATACCTCTGCTGTCAGGCTTAGGATCCATCAAACCCTTTGCAGGCTAGCATTTTATACCGATTTCAATAAGGTGAAATTAGAGACAAATGTAAAATTCAACACTTAGCTTCAAATAATCATTTTCACAAGTATGTGTGTGTGTGTTTGTGCGCGTGGGTGTGTTATGGGGGGAGGGGAAGGGACGTGAGTGGATGAATGGTAATATCTGAAGATGACCTATGGTTTTTAGTAAACTGAAAGTTGAATAAGAGTCATCTGTGTGATACGGCCACCAAAAGATGCTAGCAGGATCTCGAGGTGCACAAAGAGAGGCCTAGTGTGCAGTCATGCCTGCTGATGGACTCTGTGTATGTCCCAAAAGTCCAGACCGGGATGAGAGTCAGAGCACATCTGTAGTCCTGGGTTCAGGTGTAGGTATTAGGTTTTCGGAAAGCCACGGACCACCTAGAGTATGTCCAAAGGAAGGTAACTGAAATGGCGAGGGGACTGCAGACCATGCTGAATATAAGCAAGTGAAGGAAACTGGGTGATGTGGACCACCTTCAAGTATGTGAAGGGCTCTTTCATGGAAGAGGAATCAGACTTGGCCCCCCGAAGGTGAGGTGAGGGACAATGTAGCTAAGTTGTAGGAAGGTCGATTTCAGTATCAATCCAATTCAACAAGTATCTATGAAGTGTTTATTATGTGCCAGGTACTGTGCTAGGCACCAGTAATACAAGGACAAAAATGAAATAGTCCCTCTCCTCAATAAAGATACATTTTACTAAAAAAAGAAAAAAGGGGGGGCAGAGATTGTAAAGGAAAACCTTTTGGGGGCAGCTACGTGTTGCAGTGGATGGAGCACCGACCCTGAAGTCAGGAGGACCTGAGTTCAAATCTGGCCTCAGACCAGACACTTGACACTAACTAGCTGTGTGACCTTGGGCAAGTCACTTAACCCCAATTGCTTAAAAAAAAAAGAAAGAAAGAAAACCTTTCTAGAGCTACACAAATGTAGAACAGGCAGCCTCCAGCATTAGGGAGGTGTTCAAGTAGAGACTGGATGACACTCTTCAGGGATGTTAGAAGGGATTCCTTCTCTGATTGGGCTCAACAGCCTTAGAGATTCTATGATCTTCTGGACCTCTGGGCAAAGGTGTTGTCAGCCTGGCCAGTTAGATCAGTTGAGGGAGGTGGTGCTTACTGACCCCAGGACGACTGAACCTCCAACTATTCTGACTCTTCCTTGCCTCTCTGAGTGCATGGATCCACTCTGACCACAGTCTCATCTTCACTCCTCCTTATCCCCAGCTGGATGCTGAAGCCAGTGACATCCTGAAGGAGCTTCAGGTGAAACTCAATAATGTGCTGGATGAGCTCAGTCGACTGTTTGCCACCAGGTGTGTGAGTGTTTGTGTAGATATGCCTGTGCACAGCATGGGGAGAACAGAGGGAAGGGAAGAACTAAGCTTCTGGACTCCTAGACCTCAGCCATCAGAGAACCCTAGGAAGAGGCCCGGGAGTAACAGGGCCACACGTTTGGGATGTGTATGTGTGTGTATGGTGGGGAGGGGGGGAGTGTCTGCATGTAAGAATTTCAATACCAAAACTACATCCCTGACCTCATCACTCCATCCCTCTATTCCCTCAATCATTCCATCCCTATGTCTCCCTGACCCAATCACTCTACTTCCTTTCCTCTATGTCCCCAACTACTCATTCCACTGCCCCAGGCACTCCACACCCTCACCTGACCCCTTCTTTGCCTCTGCCCCCATCACAAGCCTCCCTGTTCTGGAGAATCAGGGTTGCTCTTCAGGGAACCCCAGGCTGATGATTAGCCCTATGCCCCTAGCTTCCAGCCACACATAGAAGAGTGTGTCAAGCTGATGGGAGACATCCTGAGTCAAGTGAAGGGCACGGGAAACGTGCCAGCCAGTGCCTGCAGCAGCGTTGCCCAGGATGCTGATAATGTCCTGCAGCCCATCATGGACCTGTTGGACAGCAAGTGAGTCCCCACGCTCAGGGCCCAAAGCAAGGAGGGAGGGGATCATGTAGAGCCAGGAGAATGGGGCATGGAGGGAGGATCATTGGGAAGAAGGAGGACTTAGTAAGTGTGATGAGGATTGTAGAATCTTATTATGAGAGATTCCTCATCTATGCAGCTAGGTGGTGAAGTAGGTAGAGCACCAGGCCTAGAGCCAGGAAGACCTGAGTTCAAATCTAGCCTGAAGACACTTACTAGCAGTGTGTGACCCTAGAAAGTCACTTAACCCTGTTTGCCTCAGTTTTCTCATCTGCAAAATGAGCTGAAGAAGGAAATAACAAACCATCCTACTATCTTTGCCAAGAAAACCCCAAATGGGATCATGAAGAGTCAGACATGATTGAAATGACTGAACAGCAACATTATCATAGAAGCTTAGAATCATGATTTTGGACTCTTAGACCCAGAATCACAACTCACACTTTAAGGCATACCAAGCACTTTCTGCATATCAACTCTTTGATGTAGGCGGTACAAATATTATTACTCCCACTTTAAAGATGATGAAACAGAGGCTCAGAGAGAGGGAAATGACTTTCCAAGAGTCAGCCAGCTGTTAGGATTTGACCCAAGGTCTCACCCAACTCCAACACCCTACTAGAACCTTTTTGTTTTAACTTCATGGGATCATAATATTTAGAGCTTTAAGGAACCCTGTATATCTTCTAGTCTAATCTCCTTGATTTATAGATGAGGAAACTGAGGCCCAGAGAAGGGAAGGGATTTGCCTAAGGTTATACAGGTACTAAGTAGCAGAATCAGAATTTGAACCCAAGACTTCTAACTCAAAATTTAGTAGTCTTTCTAGGATACCATCAATAGAATCCTAGAATCTTAGACTGTTAGAATCTTAGACACTTAAGATTCTAGAATCTTAGAATAATGGAATTCTAGAATCTTAGACCCTTAGAATTCTAGAACTTTAGTCTCATAGACTGCTAGAATCTTAGACTAATACTTCCTTAGATTGTTAGAAACTCAGACTCATAGACTCTTGAAATCCCAGAGTGCTACAATTTCAGAGCTTACTATAAGGGACTTTAGACATGACCAGCTCCATATTCCCATCCAGTCCAGGAATCATTTGTTGACTGAATTATAGTCAGAGCCTGGGGTTTGTAGGAGCCAAGGAAAGGGAAGGAAGGCTGGCAGTAGTGAGAGGGGTGGCTTTTTTGGGGTGGGCAGAGGAAGAGATGGAACCAGCGTTGCAAACTAGAGGGGAAGCATGATATACCTGGAGACGTGGTGGTCACCTGGGAACAGTGACGAGGGAAGCCTATGCTTGGGATCCTCTTCAGCCTATAAGACGTGAGCTCCCCTTCCCCAAAGCTAGAAGGCATCAGGAAGGACATGTGCCACCTTTTTTTCTCCTCTACCTGCTGTGCTCTCTGAAGTGGGAGAGGGGAGAGGGTCTGAGACATGGGCAAGGCCCCTGTCCACCCATGGATGCCAGCCCAACTCCTCTAACCACTCCCCTAGCCTGACCCTCTTTGCCAAAATCTGTGAGAAGACGGTGCTGAAGCGAGTATTGAAAGAGCTCTGGAAACTGGTGATGAACACAATGGAGAAGACCATAGTCCTGCCGCCCCTCACAGACCAGACGGTAAGTCTCAGCTGCAGGCTGCCACCACCCAGCTGTGTTCTGCCTCTGTCTCTGACCAGGCAGGCCCCAAGAACTCAAAGTTGGGGCCTGCTGAGTCACAAGCAGAACCCATGGCCAGTTCAGAGAACAGAGACATCCAGGAACCAAGAGGTTAAGTGGAGACATGGGTTTGGGTCAGAGGTCAGAGACATTTTGAGGGAGTAAAAAGATCTAAGGACAGAGATCAGAGATGTACTAGAGCAGAGACAGGAGAGAGGTCTGGAAACAGAAAGGTCAGAAATCCCTTTGTTTTCTTCGATCTCCAAGAAGAAGTCCATTCCTCCAAAAGGACACTTCCAAGATAGCTAAGGCAGGACCAAGGCCCAAGGGTAGGTAGGAGAGACCAGCCTAAGAGACCGGAGCCTTCATCTCCCTCCATCAGCCATGAGTGTGGGGCTGTAAGGAGGCCATCAGGGGCCCAAGAGAAGCAAGGGAGCAATGAAGAAGGAAAATAGCCCTGGGGAAGAAGCAAGAATGGAGGGCTTTGGGGAAAGGGTGGGAAAATGGGGAAGATGGGATCCCTCCAATAGCCCTTTGTTGGATCCTTAGCAAGCTGTCTGAGCCCACCCAAAAGTAGCCCGCCTACCAGAGCGATACCCCTTTTGGGGGAGGGAAGGGTTACTTCCTGTGACTTCAGGACACCCAACATAGAAGGGAGGAGGGGGATTGAGTCATTAGACCAAAGGTCTGAATGGGAGCAGAGAATGAAGAACTGCTAAGAGTGGTGGAAGGGACCCCAAGACCAGTGGGGACCAAACCCCAAATCTGGTGGCTAGAGGTGAGACTTGATAGAAGCCAGAAGGTTTAGGGTTGAGCAAACAGTGCCTTCTGCAGGCCGACCTCAGAATGACTGGCTCCACAGCCATCTGTTAAGCACAGACCACCATAGACTAACCTTTAGAGGCATAGGAGAGAGTGGCCCAGCCTGAGGTCCAGCCTAGAAGGACAGGGACTGAGCCTCAACCCTTATCTATAGGAGGCAATATTTTGCTAATTCTTGATTATTCCATCCCCCTGCGGCAGATGATTGTAAGTACAGCAGCCCATCTCTGTCTGTCTGTCCGCTCAGTGTTCAAACTTGGTTGGTCAGTCCCCTGTCTTGTGTGGCTGCACTCCACCTCACCACCCCAGCCCGGCCTTGGCCTTGGCCTCAGCACCTCCCCAATATCCCCATGTTCTCGAGAGCCCCTGCCTGGCCGGACTGCTTGGTGCCAGTTGGGGTACCCACCACGGGCCCTGCCATTCGAGGATTCTGCCTCACGTTTGTCTTGGGGGAGAAGGGGCCCACTGAGGGAGGGAAGGGATGTCCCTCTCCCCCCGAGCCTTGCACTCTTCCCCATGCCCAAGATGCCCACAGCCCTGCCTTTGAACAACACAGTCTGGGGGCTGAACCTATTATTCTATTTATTCTATCATCTGTCTGCAGTTCTGGAGATCCCTCTTTAGAAGCTGCTACTACTGATTTCTCCTCTCCCCTTCTGTCTCTGACCAGAAATTACCTAAGAACAGGGTGGGGCAAGGAATGCTATTGGGACAGACCAGTACTACGCCACTACCACCACCACCACCACCACCACCACCACCACCCCCACCACCACCACCACCACCCCCAACCCCAACCCCACCTGGAGACCTCATCTAGAACCCCTGATTCCTTTCCCAGAGAGTCACATAAACTTGCTTGGCCTGCAAAGATTTGGAATTGGAGGAAATGTTCCCTCTCCTTGTTCCTTCTAAGAACTGTCCTCTTCCCATCCCCACTAAAGGCTTTCCTATCCCTCTTCCCTTCCCTCCTCCCCATTCACCTACAAGCCGGGTCTTCGGGCCCCCTGGGAAACAGGATTCCCTGGGCAGATGGAAACACCAGACTTTCTAAAGCAGTGTGGGAGGAGATACCTAAATGACCCAGGTCAAGAGGCTCCACACCCCCTTTCCATCTTAGACTCACCAGCTCAATGGGGGAGAGGGAAGGGGGAGAAGGTTTAGGGACAAGAGGGGCCCCAACATAAGAGTAATATCCATGTCCCCTATAGGCTAACCCCAGGCTCCCCATTCACACACACACACACACACACACATTGGAACATGCATATATGAATAGGAACACAGACTTTCATACACACAGACACATACAAATACTTAGAGATTCACACAGCTCCATAAATATGCTTATTCCCTCTCTAACACATAATTAGTATGTGCCTAACACAGTCCTAGGCATGCTAGGCGGTTACAAAAGAAACCTAAGACAATTTCTGAATTCCTGTGCTCACACACACACAATTCTAATAAACACAGGAACATATGTGAATAGCTTCCTTTAAAGGTACCTGCACACACACATAGACATATACACATTGTGCACCAGGACCCTTGAACACCCACAGAAACACACATATATACACGCACAGCCTTACGACACCCCTTGACACCACTTGGCACAGTTGATGGACTTGTGACATTGTTTCTACAGGGAACGCTCTTGAGAAAGCATGGCAAGGGATTAGAGAAGGTAATGAGGGCCGATCCCCAGCTGACCTGAGGCCCGGGCCCCACACTCAGCTCTGCCTGTGCTAAGCCTGTGTGTCTGTGTGCCTGTGCGTGTATGCTTGTGTGGGGAGTTAGACTGAGGATGGATGGGGTAGAGAGAATACAGATGGCTGGGAAGACATAGACAGGGGACAGACAATCAGGGCTTGACTTTGTAGGGAGGTAGTTCTGTGTATGATGAGTGTAGATGTGTGTTAAGTGTACAGGTGTCTGCACAATGAATATAATTCACATCCCCTCACAACAAACTCCCAAAGGCCCCCAGCACGTGCTGAAATATTTCAGTATCAGGCAATGGTCTACCAACCAGACCATCCCCTCCGACTTGGAGGGCGATTTCTCGTACAACAATTTGCATCGTGATGGTTTGTTGAGATAGGATTTGACCTACAGAGAAGGTAGAGCGTATGTGTTTATGTGTGCACATGTGTACATTTGCTCACGTGTATGTAGAGGCAACCCCCTCTTTTCAACTTTACCTTCCTATCTCACTGCTTGATGAGCAGGGGATGTCATTTCTGGCAGTGACTCCTTTGTTAGCGCTTATTAATGTCTTCCTAAAACAAGTCAGTAGTGCGTGGGCTATCAAAACAGTGTATCCTGATGATCTGTGCACTTTGAGGAGTGAACTTTAGGGATGTGTTTTGTTTAAAAGTTGGGGCTGCCTATTTTGTGTACGGGTATGTGTGTGTATCGATATGTTTGTGTATTTAATGTGTTTCTGTGTCTATATGTTTCTGTGTTTGTTTCATGTATCTCTTATGTTTTCACATGTATGTTTGTGTATATGATACTTGTTGACATTTGTCATGTACATTTTTGTCTTCAGTCGATGTACATTTGGACATTTTTCTGTCTGCGTCTTTATCTATGTCTGAGTCTCTGTTTTGTTCAAGAACTTGAATGAAGACATAAATTACGTGTTTGTCAGATTTGCAGATGACACAAAGCTGGGAGAACTACCACATTTTAATAACAAAAGTCAGGATCCCCAAAGATCTTGATGGGCCAAAATATTGGGTCAAATCAAGTAAAAATGAAACAATAGCAATAATATAAAGACCTATTCTTGGGTCCTAAAAGTCAACTTACCAAGTACAAGATAGAGGAGATGTTTAGATAATAGTCAGAATGAAAAAGGCCAGGGGATTTTAGTGGACTGCGAATTCAACATGAGTCAACACAGGGTGATATGGCAGAAAAACAGACTAACTAGGGCTGTATTGAGAAATACAGCAGTGTCCATGAGAGAGTACGTGTCAGTGTGTTCTGTTGGATTTTTTGCATTCCTTCTAGCTGCTTTTCAGGCTTTTTGTTTGTTTGTATTTTCTGCAGGGCAGAGAATCTACCATATAGCACGGACATCCAAATAAATCGTAATGGCTGTTTCTCACTGCACTAACTAACAAACAAACAACAAAACCAAATGAACAAAAACCCAGCCTCCCACGAGGGAGGTAATAGTCCTGCTGTACTCTGTCCTGGTCAGAGTGGCATTTTCTTTTCTGGGCACCGAAGCATCGGAAGCATTCAAGAGGAGGACAACCAGGATAGTGAAGGGGCTCAAGAGCGTGTCAGCCGAGGATTAGTGGAAGGACGTGGGCATGCTTAGCCTGGAGAAGAGAAGACTGAGAGGGACAGAATAGCTGCCTTCCAGGATTTGAAAGGCTGTCATTTGTAAGAGGGGTGAGATTTGTTCTGCTTATCCCTAGAAGGCAAGAACGAAGAGCAGTGTAGGAGTGGGGATGGGGGGACGTGACAGGAACACGGAATTCTGCTTTGTGTAAGCCTCAGCTTTCTCACAATGATCTCTCCAAGAGTGGAAAAGGCAGACAGAGGACAGTTAGACACTGGCAGGGAACTGCCTGTCTCCGGAAGTCCTCAAGCGGAGGACAGATGATCTTTTGTCAGGGATGTTATGGAGGGAGTCCTGTTCAGGGGCAGGTTGAACTAGGTTCAAAATTTGAGCTTCTGTGATTCTATGGATATGAATATGTGTGTCCATGTGTCTTTGTAGAAATTTCTGTGTGTTGTGTGTATGGAATAAGTGTGCTGTGATGTATGTGACCACGTATGAGGGATTATGTATGTGGAGTCAAACTGTAATTCCCCCCCTCCCCAGGAGTCCAGAGTCAAGTTTTGTGGGGACTAGGGTTGGGGGTTGGAGTGGGGAGAGTTGGTTAGCTCTCCTCTCAGAGAAGGACTCAGGAGAAAAGGGCATCCATTCCTAGTGTGGGTGGGGTTGGCTCTGGTCTCACGAAAGGCCTAGAGACTTTCGATGTGGAAGACGACTATATCTCCACAGTCCTGGGTGCCCAGCAAGGAACCCAGCAGAACTAGAATGTTAACCTTGAGCCCTGAGCCCCCCATCCAAGGATGGAATGAGAGGGTTGATTGGTTGGGGAGTGGAAGAAGGATTTATTATCTAGCTGGTGGGTAGTGGGAGAATGAGGGGGATGGGCAAGGGAACTAGGCAAGCTCCAGAACTGTGCCAGGTTAAGGATAGAGGGTGGGGGAATAGGAAGGGAAGTCCTACTGACACCCCCCCCAGCAGTCAATGAAACCTCTGAACTCCTATTCTCTCCACAGGGCAGGGTGAAACTCCCCAGCCACTCAGACGTAAGATGTTGGTCTCTCACTGTCTGTCTGGCTTCCCCCTCTATATATGCCCCTCCTTACTCTCCTTGCACCCCACCACTCCCTTTCCAAACTTCTTGCCTCTGTGATTCTGTGTTCCCCAGAGTCTCTCCCTCCAGGGTGGGGAGAGCCGGACCTCTGTGCTGTCCCTCTGTCTGTCCGCTCTCTTTTCTCTGTCTGTCCGGCTGGCCGACTTATTCATGTTGGTGGGAGGAGGAGGAGTGGATGGGCTGGAGACCGGAGGCCACTACCCTCAGAAGCCTCCCAAGATGAACGCAATCCATTGGTTCTGGGCTTTCTAGGTTCTTTTCAACACCCCTTTGTCAAATTAGTCTCATTACACCTTCCCAGAGGTATGCCAGGTAGGGTCTATCATCACCATTTGACAGAAGAGAAACCTGAGAGAGGCTCTGATTGAGGAAGGGACATTGCTCTAGATCCCACAGCCACTTAGTTGAAGAATCATAGAACCATAAAGGAGACTTTAAGTACTGCCTAATCCAACTTCTACATTTTAGGGACAGAGAAACAGAGACCCAAAAGTAGAGGTGACTTGCCCAAGGTCACACAATGAGGGCATGGCAAGGATGGCACTAGGACTCCAGGCTTATTCTCTTTCAGGAATGGGGAACCTGTGGCCTTCAGGGCACATGTATCCCTCTAAGCCCTCAAGTGCAGCCCTTTGACTAAATCCAAACTTCACAGAATAAATCCGCTTAATAAAAGGATTTGTTCTGTAAAACTTGGACTCAGTTAAAACACCATACCCAAAGACCTAGAAGACCACATGTGATCTCAAGGCCTCAGGTTCCCCATCCCTGTGTACCATACTGCTTTTTATGGACTGCCCCCACCCCCTGCCAGGACCTCACTTATTATAACATCCAGGGGGTGGGATGGTGGCAGAGGTGGGGACCAAGAGGACAAGTGGAGTGCTTTTCCATGAAGGTCATCAGCGGCTTCTCCTGAAATCATCACACCTATTCCTGTCCAGGGAGACAGAAGCCCTGTCTCCCTGGGGGAGTCACATGGGAGGGGCTACCTCCCTCTCTGGAAGCCCCTTCTCAAATCCTATACTTGAGACTCCAGACAGGACAAGGAACTGGTACATGACCAGCTTGCCTTCAGCCTCTGCCTAGCCTGGGCCTAGTAACATCTGGCCTCTTGTCGAGGGGCATAACTTTATAGGACTCTGCATTTGTTGGGGTGGGGACATGACTTCCCCAGATGAAATCCTACCCTAGAGATGATGGCAGTTTCTGAGAACTACTGTCCATGGAAAGTTCAGCCCCAAACCAAGCACTCCTGCCTAGATTTTACTGGCATTACAGGACAGTCAGCACCACTCCCTTGCTCTAGGGATCCCCTCCATATGTCCCACCACGGCATCCTCTGAGTTCAGGGATCTTGAGACTGAGCAGGGATGGAGTCAAAGTTCTTGGAGTCCATGCCCAGCCATGGACCTTCCTTCACCCTTTCCTCAGGTGGCCATCTGCGCCAGCCTCCATCTTGCCCTAATGCCAGGAGGCCTGGTATTTGCCTCCCTGCCACCATGGCCCTGGGCACATCAGTCCTGTAGAGGGTAAAGTGGCTCAGCCCAGGTCCAGGGAAAGGGTGATGCTCAGTACAGGAGGGTGGGGTGGGACCCAGGGACATGCAACCCTGCAACCAGATCCTTATCCCCTTCCCTGGGTATCTCTGTATGTTCTACAGGGGACTCAAATGATCTTCAACGCTGCCAAGGAGCTGGGCCAACTCTCAAAGCTCAAGGTAAGCTGGGGGTATGGGAGAACAGACTTGGGGAAGTCACATGGTAGTGGTTGAGGGCAGGAGTCTTCATACCAACTTCCTGAGTTCAGGTTTCAGGCCATCCAGAGGGAGCCTGGGGTCAGGGATTAGAGATCATCCTTGACCTCCAATTTCATTACTCTGACTGCCAGAGCTAGAAGGGCCCCAAAGGCTGAAAATTTCCCCTTAGCCTCCCCCATGAGTCCAATGCCTATGGGCTCCTTGCCGCCAAGCCTGGGCAGAGAGATCATCAAGTGGCTGAATTAGTGGGTCAACCTTTTCCCTTTTTGCTCTGTTCTTCTAGGACCACATGGTACGGGAAGAAGCCAAGAGCTTAACCCCCAAGCAGTGTGCTGTGGTAGAGCTGGCTCTGGATACTATCAAGGTAAGTAACCACAACCCCAGGACCCCCCACTACAGGGAAGAAGGAGAAAATGGGAGCTGGAAGGGTCCTTAGAACACAGAATATCAGAGCTGGGAGGGGCCTTAGAGCACAGAATATCAGAGCTGGGAAAGCCCTTAGAACATGGAACATCAGAGCTTGGATGGCCCTAGAACACAGAATGTCAGAACTAGATAAGCTCCTAGGACCCAGAGTGTCAGAGCTGGGAAGGCTGTTAGAACACGGAATGTCAAAGCTGAGGAGGACAGGATTTGAAGAGGAAAGACTTGAAGCTAGGCACTGAAATCATGGAGGAAGGAAGAAGAATATCATGGGGGCTTTAGGACATACAGTGTCGAAGCTGGAAAGAACCTTAGAACGTGAAATACTAAAGCTGAAGGGGAGATTAGGACTTATTTACAGGGCTAGAAAGAAGTTCAGGACTTAAAATGTAGACTATCAGGGATAGAAAGTACCTTAGAGATCCTCCTGGCCTTTGCTGGACACATATGGAGTCTTCCACATTAGAATGTGAGCTCCTTGAGGGAAGGAACCATGCTTTTGCCTTTCTTTCCATCCCCAGTGCTTACACAGTACCTTGAAAATACTAAGCACTGAAGAAATGCTGGCTGATTGAGTGATATGGTAACTCAGATATGGTAGCTGGGTCCAGAGATCAGAAGGGATTTCACCAGTCACATTACAAGTCAGGGACAAGAGCTGAGAATAGAACCCAGCCATCCAGATGCTCCTTCCAGGAATCATCCCACTACATCAATCCTGGTGCCCTAGGAAAATGTGGCTTTGATGCTCCTAGACTCAGAGGGAGTCTTGAGAGCCACCCCTGAGCCAGGCTCTCCCTTCACAGCAATACTTCCATGCGGGGGGCGTGGGACTCAAGAAGACCTTCTTGGAAAAGAGCCCAGACCTGCAGTCCCTCCGCTATGCCCTGTCTCTCTACACGCAGGCCACAGACCTGCTCATCAAAACTTTTGTCCAGACTCAGTCAGCTCAGGGTAAGTTCTCCCCTTCCCTTGCCCAGAGCTGGGCACAATATGGTGGGAGGGGAGGGAGGTTCATGCCTGGTGCCCAAGCCGAGGCACTGGGGAGCACAGAGAAACCCCAGGTGCTCCTCAGTCCATTCCTCTAACCAATGGCAGCTGTCTTCTTCTTTTGCCCTCAAGGTCTCTGTTCCAGGCTGGGTCATAGAGTGGGGGTGGGAGGAGGAAGGAGCAACGTTGGATGTGGTTTGGTAAGAGCCTCTATGATACCACAAGACAAAGGGCAAGATCCATAGGATGTTAGTACAAGGTTCAGAGATCACAGGAGCATAATTGCAGAGTTAAACATTGCCGGTAGTGGACGCTGGACAGTCACTGCTGGGTGGGGATGAGAACGCCATCCCAAGTTAACTTCTTCAGTGCCAAACTCTTTTGCCAGGAAACAGGAATTCCCATGTCTCTTGGCTTGGGTTAGGGATAGGGGAGGTTGAGGAAGGCTAATGTCTCCGGCTTCCTCTCTTCTTTTTGGTTTTCTCTTGGTCCCTTTCTGGGTCAGTGCCTAAGGCTGAGGTGACTGGGTTGTGAGAAAAGGGGGAAGTGTCTGCCCATGGAAGAGGCCCCAGGCTGCCTCATAGAGCTTCTATGCCCCCATCAACTACAGGTCTAGTGGGAGGCAGGTCCATGTAGATGGGGGCCTGAGCAGACCCCTTGGATCTGTTCTGAGCTGGATCACTGACCCTCTGGGGGTCTCCTTGTTCAAAGTGCCATTTTCCATGTCAGAAATACATTTAAATAGAACCTTTGAGGGGGTGGAGGTACATGAGCACAGGGTGAGACTTTGGAATGGTCTTCTAAAGTGGTCGTTGTCGAGTGTGACTCTTCCTCACTCCTGTAGAGAGACCCCTCAGAAGGCTGGGCCTGGCTCGGAGTCAGGTTGGGGCAGGAGGATAGAGGCTAAATAGGAAGGACTTCTTGACTTTCACCTGACTTAGCCCAATCCTGGATGGTATAAGGCCATTCACTACAACTCAGAAGCCAGGGAGGAGTGATGGAGATGCTCTCCTTAAGTCCCCACCAGGCCTTGAGTTTGGGGGAAGGGGTGCCTAGGAATACAAGGAAAGTTAGCCACCCAACCTGAGACTGCTGAGAAGTAGGGCTGGGGGCCGTAGACCTTCCCCCTTCTCTGCCTGCCACTCTAATGCTCTGACCTAACTCCTGCCCCTCACAGCCCCAGGGGCCAGTCTGTCTCATCTGTCTATCTGTCTGTCTGTTGGGAGCTGATGTTTCTCTCTTTCTTGTTTTTTCCTTCCTTTCAACTCCCAACCCCCTCCTCACTCTCCCCTCTCCCTCTACAACACTGTTGTTCTCTCCCTGTCCCTCTTTTGCTTGTCCTTTCTCCTGTCTCCGTGTCTCTGGGGTCTCCCTTTTTGCTTATCAATCTCTGTTTCTATGTTCTTTTGCGGGCCTCGTTGCCGTTCTCACTTTCCCTCTGTGTCTGTCTCTGTCGTTTCTTTTTTCACTATTATTTCGTGATCTCTACCTGTTGGCCTGTCTCTAATCGTCTGTCTCCTGTTTATCTGCCTCTGTGTCTCCCTCGTTGTCTCTGTTTCCCTGTTTCTTTCTTTATCTTTTTCCTCTCTCTGTGTCTCTCCTTTCGCCCTTTACTAGTTCATGGTGGAAAAGGTATTAGGTTTACTCTTAGTGAAGAAATTTATCCTGAGAAGGGTACGTCTCTTTGCCCGCCTGCCCATTCCTGGTACCCTCTCCCTGCACTTTCGGTGCCCTGGTCGCTGCCCCTCACTCCCTGAAGCACCCTCCCAATGCCCCAGCTAGTAAAAGGCCCCATCCCTTGCTCCCTCCCTCTGTCCCCGTGGCTGGCCTGGTGGCTGAGCCAGGCCTGCTATGCTCATACCCACTGGGGTATACCCTGGCCACCCCAGCCCCAACTTCCCCCTCTCCACCATGGGGCCAGGGATTTAGGATCTGAGCTGGGGGAGGGACAGGAGGGTTGGGGGTGGGAGGGCATAGCAGGTTGCTGGTTCCAAAGGGGAGGGTGGGCTAGGGAAGGGCTCTGGGCCAGAAGATCATGCCACTACCCCTCCACCAGCCTGGCCCAGGAACCACCGAGAAGAAATCCCAGGGCCTAAGAACCCAGATTTTCTAAACCACTTGTAAACATTTTTCCTAAACTAAGGCAACCCTGATTAGAGTCATAGAATGCCTGAGCTAGGAGGAATGTGAAAGACCGTCTAGTTGGATCTTCCCATTTCACAGAGGAGAAAACTTAGATGTAAGAAGAGGAGAGGGAAGGAGGGGGAAGTTGAGGGGGAGGAGTCCTATTTCTCCAAGAACTGATCCCAGACTCAGTTATCTTGATCTGAATTTTAGGTCCTCACTCCGCTGAATTGATTCATTGGTCCTGGCCTTCCTTGGACCAGTTCAACTCTCTCCCAAGCTGGATCTTTCTTGTTCTGAGCCAGATCCTATTTTTTTTTTCATACCAGATCCCAGTTCTCTCAGTCTTAGCGCTGAGATCCTAGCACCAGAACTGCCTCATTTGGTACATGCCTCAGATCCCTAGCGGTCAGGTCCAGTGGGGCTTGAGGCCTTCTGAAGAAAAGAATGAGCCTTTTTCCATCATTTCCCTGAACCAGACCTTAAATATGGGGGCAGGGGCAGTTGGGCAAGGCCCTTCCCCTTGGAGCCAGCAAAACAGGGTGGGTCTCAGGCTCTGACTCCCCCAATCCCATGGTGGGGGACCCAGCACTTCTCTCTCCCTTGCCTTGGGGGCCTGGCCCTGCCCGATGAGTGACCCACCTTCCAATCCTCCCTTCTTACCCTCTTCACCCCTTACCCTGAACTCCCTTGGGTCTGGTTTGACGCTTGCATAAAAAGCACCGAATTCCAGAGGGGAGGGAGATGAAGCTGAGCATGTGACTTGTTGGGGGTGGGGGGAGGGGCTCAGCATCTGAGCCCCCAGGGCAGGGAGATCCATGGACTCCCCCCCAGCCTGGATCTACTTCTCTTTAGCCCCCAGCCAAGCGGGCCCGGTATGGATCTGCTTGGAATAAATGATTCCCATCTCATCCCCTTTGCAGCTGCCACCTCCTCCAGCCCCAGCCACCTGCTGCATGTCCCATTTGGCAAGCCTGCCCTCATGGGGGATGGGGAGCTGCCTGCAGTGCGGTGGGAGGGTGGGCAGAGTGGGAGATGAACTGGGGCCTGGACTGCTGGCGGCAACAGGTTCCACTTTTGGGTGGTCGCTGGTCCCACTTGAAGGTAGGTCCTGATTCCTCTTTCCCTACAAGGCCATGTTGACATTCAGCAAGGAAAGGGTGCAGAGGGATCCTGAGACACAGGCCTGGGGCTGTGACAGTCACTCTGTCTGTCCTCTAGACAGACCACACTGGAATATTATATTTGGGGAACCATATTTTAGGAAGGACATAGACATGCCAGAGCAACTACAAAGGAGGGAGAGCAGGGGACTGGAGGATCATGGGGAAGGAACTGGGAGTGTTTGTCAAAAGAGAAGACTTAGCAGGAAGATGATAGCTGCCTTCGAGTATATGAAGGTCTCTTATGTGCAGGAGGAATTTGTCTCTTTCTTTCCATCCTCCTAAAGCCAAGAAGAACTAGGAGCAATGGGTGGAATTCATGGAGAGACAAGATTCAAGGTCAATGTAAAGAGGAATTTCCTAATCATCAGAGCAAACCAACAATGGAAGGCGAGGGATGTCTTGTAGGTAGTGAGTTCCTTGTCATTGGAAGTGTTCAAACAGAAACTAGAGGACCGCTTGTCAGGGACATTATTGAGAAGATTCGTGCTTAGGCCAGAGTTAGAATTGCCTTCTGTGGTCCCTTCCAGCTACGAGGTTCTACGGTCCTACGATTGTTAGTTCATCATAGATACCACGTGAGCCATCAACATGGCAGGGCACAAGAATTAAGGCTTAACTCACAAAGCTGCTTAGGGTGGACAAAAGAGTGTTCCGGCTGGGGACCCCATCAGTTCTGTGGCCAGTGGCCCAGGGCCTGCCTTTCAGTATTAAGTTTCAGTGTTATGTGATTTATTCAAAGGTGAGGAGGCCCAGAAGGCTCCATTCAAGACATTCCCCAAAAGATTGATTGATATACCAGACACCAAAGATCTGGAACAACTACCCAGAAAGATAAGAGACTTTAAAACGTGGCCCACAGAATGTTAGAGCTGGCAAAGACCTTAGAACATGGGAAATCAGGAAGAGAAGAGGCCTTAGAACATAGAACACAAAATATAGAACTGGGAGTTACCTTAAAACAGAACAAAATGGCAGAACTGGAAGGGACTTTAGAATGTGGAATGCCAGGACTAAGAAGGGACCTTGGAACACAGAATGCCAGATCTGGAAGGAACCTTAGAATACTGTTCAAGAACTGACTAAATAACTCTGCATTTTCTGGCTTAAAGTCATTTCTGTTGCTTGTGGCTGCAAGAGAAAACCTGGCCTACAAACTCTTCAAGCTGAGTAGAGCTTAGATATTTATCATCTTTTGAAAATAGAGGGGAAAAAATCAAGTGAAAGTGATAACAAAGTTAGTTGGGAGGGGAAGGTACAAAGTTAGGAGGCTGAATGACTCAATTCAATAAACATTTATCAAGTTCCTATTACGTGCCAGGCACTGTGCTAAATGCAGTGATTAAAGTATGCAAAGTTGGGGGGAAATGAGAGTGTGCAAAATTGTGAGATTGAGCAGCTGAGTGATAGGTTTTGGAATATTCTGAGGAAAAGGTCATATATTGACAGATAATTGATGACTTCAAGTTAAGCAGGTTCTTTGCATCGGCTCGCCTCCCTAGAGGGAGCACAATTTACAAGAGAAAAGAGAATTTCTCCCAGTCCCTCAGGCAAGCAGTGTCCAGCTCATCCCTAATTCGTTGCACTAATGTCAAGCTCTGTAGAATCACAGCAAAGTAAGACAGGCTTTGAGGTGATTCTCTGACATAGAACATCAAATCTTAGAATATAGAGTGCTGAAGCTGGAAACCGTAGGGATGATCTTGTCAAACCCTCCTGTTTCACAGCTCAGGAAAGTGACAGCAGGAGATGGAACAGCACAGAAGGCAAAGGACAGACTAGGATTCCTGTCCCTGGTTCCCATTGTATCGTGCGACCTTCTAGAATAACAAAACTCCCTCTATCTCACCATGTTCATCCTAACATAACAACTGAAAACCAAGCAACTCACATTTCCGTGTTTACTACTGCAAATTTTCCAAAGTGTTTTCCTTCTGACCGCTTCATGTGATAGGTAGTACAAGTGTTTTTATACCCATTTAATAGATGAAGAAGCTGAGGCTCTGAGAGATTAAAAGACACAAACCTATTAAGTGTCCGAGGCAGAATTCAAGTCCTAAGTCTCTTGATTCTAAGCTCGAGTGTGTTATCCCCTACCCCACAACGCCTTGCATGTGTCCCTAGTTATACAGCAAATTAATTCTTTCTTCTTTAAGGGAGATGCCATGACTTCCTGATGAAATTTAGGAAAAAAGCCAAGTTATATTAGTAACATATTTGCCATTAGGATGTGTTTTCCTCGTCGAACCCAACAAGCATATATTGTGTCTATTGTACTAGACAATAAGGGATAAAGACAAAATAAAAAAATCCCTGTCCTCAAGAAGCTTACAATCTGCTGGGGTGAGGGAGGGGTGTGTGGAAAAGTGCCTTATATAAATATGTAACTAAATACAAGGTAATTGGAGGAGGAAAAAAGCACCAACAGGCAGGGAGGTGGTACAGAAAGTCTTGTGGGAGGTAACACTTGACTGAGCTCTGAATGAAGCTGAGGATTCTAAGAGATGGAGGTAAGGAGGCATTGCAGGCATAGGAGGCAGCTTGTAACTATAAAGGTATGGAGGTAGGAGATGAGAGGTCAGGCTGTAGCCAGCAAACAGACTACAGCATTAAGTGTATGAAGAGGGAGTAACATGGAATAAATTTGGACAGGTAGGTGGCAGCCAGACTGTCCAGGGCTTTAAATATCTTACTGAGAAGTTGGTATTTTAATGATGATGATGATGATAGCTAGTATATTTACATAGCTCTTTATACTTAATCCTTACAACAAGCCTGTGAAGCTAATATTATTATCCCCATGTTGCAGAGGAGGAAAGTGAGGGTGAGGGAAGTTAATTGACCCGCCCAGGGTCATACATCCCAGAAAATATCTGAGAAAGACTTTGAATTCTTATCTTCAAGACTCCAGATTCTATACGCTAAAGGTATCAAATGCACAGCCCCTAATACACCCCAGAGCAGCCTGAACCAAATTAAAATGTAATGGGGAAATAGTAAGGAAAATAAAAATACAATAGAACATAGATAATGTTAACATGTGGTTTTCTATGTTAATATAGAGTTAGTTGGGATCTTTATGTACAGTTTAGTGTTCCCATTTCTATTGGAGTTTGAGGTCACTGCACCACCTAGTTGCTACATATCCTAAAGGCAATAAAGAACCATGGAAAATTCTGCCTCAGGTCCTTAGTAGCTATGTGACCCTGAGGGAGTCATTGAACCACTTTCAGCCTGAGTTTTCTCATGTGTAAAATGAGGCTGGGCTCTAGGTGGCGCCATAGTGCAGAGTGCCAGGCCTCGAGTCAGGAAGACTCATCTTCCTGAGTTCAAATGTGACCTCAGACACTTACTAGCTAGATGACTCTGGGCAAGTTATGTCACTTAACCTTGTTTGCCTCAGTTTCTCCATCTGTAAAATGAGCTGGAGAAGGAAATGGCAAACCACTCCAGTATCTTGGCCGAGAAAACCCCCAACAGGGTCACAAAGAGTCAGACACAACTGAAAAAAAAAGGGGGGGGAATAATAATCTCACAGGACCATTGTGAGGATCCATTGAGATATTTTACAACATACTTTGCAAACATTAAAGTACTATATAAAACATAAACTATCATTAATAGAACAGTCGACATTTATATTCTGCTTTAAGATGTGTAAAGCACTTAACATTATTTCCAATAGCTATCTGAAAATGATCTGGAGGCTTTAGTGGACCACATGCTCAATATGAGATAAATGTGATGTGGATGTGAGTCCACAGTGGGATACGGCAGCCAAAAAGGTGTACTTGATCTTAGTCTGCTTTAAGAGACTCACAGCTTCCTGGAGTCAGAAGGTGATAGGTGCTTCACACGCTGCCCTGGTCAGACCACATCTGTAGTACCATGTTTAGCTCAGGATCCCACAGTTTAGTAAGGACGTTGATAAGCGGGAGAGTGTCCAGAGGAGGGCAAACAAGATGGTGAAGGATGCCACATGAAGAAAGGCTGAAAGAGCTGAGGCTGATTAGCCTGGAGAAGAAAAGACTTGGAGGGACATGGGAGCTGTCTTCAATTTCTCTAAGGGTTGTCATATGGAAGAGATAGTAAATGTCCTCTGCTGGGCTCCAGAGGGCAGAACTAAGAGCAACAGGTGGGTGTTGGAAAGAAACAAAAGTCGGATTGATATAAGGGGGCAGAGGAGGAAACTGGAATGATTGGAACTCTCTAACATTGGAACAGGCTGCATTAGGATGTAGGAGGTTCAACAATTAATGTCAGCAAGCATTTATTGAGCATCTGCTGGGTGCAAAGGGCACAAAGGCAACATGAAGCTGTTCCTGCCCTCAATGAGCTTACATTCTAATGGTGGAGTCTGCATGGCTTTCCCTAAGGACCACTGTCTCCTCAAACACTTCTTCTAGTGTCTGGGTAATGAAACTGTAGTAAGCAGAGTAGGAAAAGGGGTGACAACCATTTAAAATAAGAGCCACAGACTTTCAAAGCTGTCCCTCATTGGAGGTGTTCATGAAGAAGCTTGGTGACTCCTTAGTGAGGATTTTATCCCCAGTACTCAACAGGCTAGTGCCCTCAGACAGTCCTTCTGATTCTGGTTTCATTTAGACCTCACAACAACCCTGTGAGATACAGATATGATTATCCCAATTGCTGATGAAGAAACTGAGGCTTGGACAGGTTAAGTAAAGGTTGCTCAGTAAGTGTTAGAAGTGGAGCTGCCCGCCTGACTCATCATCATTCTCTCTATCCAAGGTTCCTAGTCCAGGACTCTTCCTGCTCCCACTTCATTGCCTTCTCTCCCCATCCCCGTCTTGAATGACCTGCCCCATTAGTGTGGTTGACCTGAAGCCGCCAGCATGGGTATGGGTTTGGGGTGGGGTGAGGTATGTGGAGAACACTGCTTGTGGTCTCCAAGTGGAGGACAGAACTCATACCCATTGTCTCCTACCTCACCACCATCAGGATCAGGAGTGGATGACCCTGTCGGTGAGGTTTCTGTCCATGTGGAGCTCTTCACCCACCCAGGTACTGGGGAACACAAGGTCACAGTGAAAGGTAAGTGTGAGTCAGAAGGTGTGGGCTTGAGCCTCCTGCCCTCTGTCCCCTAGAAGGCCCCCAATCAGTTCAGCTGGGAGGCCAGATCAGGGGGGAGACCTGGTACATCTGATTGGAGCCTCACTTGCCCTCTCCTCCCTCTGGAACAGTTGTGGCTGCCAATGATCTCAAGTGGCAGACATCAGGCATCTTTCGGCCCTTCATCGAGGTCAATATCATTGGGCCCCAGCTTAGTGACAAGAAAAGGAAATTTGCCACCAAGTCCAAGAACAACAGCTGGGCTCCCAAGTACAACGAGACCTTCCAATTGTGAGTAGGGCTGGGCCTGGGAGGACACATACAAGTATTTAATAAGTCATGTCTCTGCTAGTAGCATCTACATGGGACAAACAGTTGAGTAGGGGTAAAAATGTAGTCACAAACGTAACATCTGTACAAACATTTGCTCTAAAGAAGCAGCTCTATAGGAAACATCTGCCTCGGCATAACTATCTGCACAAAAGTAACACCTGCACAAGTCCATTTACAGGTGCAAAATTCGTACAGGTCTAAGTATCTGCTTAGAAGTTAACACCTACACGAAGTGCAGATGCAAGATCTATGCATGCATTATCATCACTGTAGTAGCAACATCTGCCGTGGGTAGGCCTAAGTAAGTATGCTGGAGAAACATCTGTACTGGTATAAACACCTGCACATGAAGAACATCCACACAGAAATAACACCTGCCCAAACATAAGCATCTGCATGGGAGTAACATCTGTACAAGATCTGTACAGGCTCAAACATCTGCACAATAATATTGGTACAGGGGTAATGTCTGTACAGCAAAAATATCTGTATGGAAGTCCCATTTTTATCGAATTAACAACTACCTAATAGAAGGGGCATAGCATAACAGCTAGATTGCTGAGTTTAGGGTTAGGAAGACCTGGATTTAAATCCACCTCTGACATTTGCTAATACTGCGGATCTGGGCAATACACAACCTCTGTGTGCCTCCAGCAATGCTCTGGGATTTAGCTAGGTCCCAGCTAGACTGGTTGGTGGAGGGAACTATCCACTGCGGCGCTCCCAAGTCAGCTGTGCCCGCCCAAGGCTCCCCGGGTGGAAGCGCGGTTGGGAGGGCAGGGTGAGGCCCGAGCCCAGCCTGCCGGGTCTCACCCCTCTCTCCCCTGCGCCCAGCACGTTGAGCGCGGACGCCGGCCCCGAGTGCTACGAGCTGCAGGTCTGTGTCAAGGATTACTGCTTCGCCCGCGAGGACCGCACGGTGGGCCTGGCTGTGCTCCAGCTCAAGGAGCTGCTGCAGCGCGGGAGCTGCGCCTGCTGGCTGCCCCTGGGCCGCCGCATCCACATGGACGACACGGGCCTCACCGTGCTGCGCATCCTCTCCCAGCGCAGCAACGACGAGGTGGCCAAGGAATTCGTGAAGCTCAAATCTGACACCCGCTCAGCTGAAGAGGGCGGAGCCGGACCCGGGCCCGGGTCTGGGCAGGGGCCTGGGCCCTAGGGAGCTGGGTTGGGCTGACGGGGAGGGGCCCCGGGCCTGGCCGGGTCTGGCTCGGGGAAGCTCGCTCTCTCTCTCTCTCTCTCGGGGCGCTGGGCAGCCCGGGAGGCCCCTCCTCCCACTGGTTCCAGCCCTGCCTACCAGGGAGAGCTGGGGAGGGGAGGGACCCTCTGCTCTTGCCATCCCCACTAGGGGGTTAGGAGGGCTGAAAGAGAAGAGGCGCACCCCACTCCATCCCATCCTAGGGAACCGGGGAGGGGGGGGAAGAAGACTGAGCCTTTGTTTCACGGCATACTCCATCCACTCTGCCCCGCTGGGCAGCGAACAGAGGGAGTAGGGGAGACTAGGTTCTATCTTGAGCTCCCACCGACATATCTGCTAAGAGACTGGGAAGGTCAGAGCCCCGCCCCAGGGGGCTTGTCGGGGCAGATTAGGAGGGGGAAGACATGCCACGGGAGGGGCAGCCCTAGGATATTCGTCTCTCCCGGGGACCCATACCCACACCTGCAGAAAAGCCATACAGGTCGTCTGCCCTATATCACTACCAGACATACCCCTACCCCTAGGCTGTGGGTGGGGGAAGGGAAGCAGGGCACTTACCCAGGGAGGACCTCAGAGCCCTTTTGTGGGGCTGGGGACAGTGAGTCAGGACTCTAGGCAGGGGCCTGAGGCCCCAGCTATTCAGGGAGGGGGGAGGGGGGTACTCAGAGGCTGGGCCTTTGAAAGGCAAGCTGGGAGGAGGGTTTGGGGAGGGACCCCCAGGTTTGGTGTTTGCAAAAAAAAAAAAAAAGTGACGTTTAAAAGCACACAAACCCTCAGGCACCCAACACCATTCAGGGTTCTGAGGACATCAGGGGCCAGGGCTGGTGGAGGTTGGAGGGGAACACTGAATGGCCTGTTCTGGATAGAAGCTCCCCTTCTAATTCCCAAGGGCTCCTGGGTCCAGGCCCAAAATGGCCCCTCTGCCCCCTCCCCATTGCCTTCTGGATGCCCCTGCTCCCAGCCTCTTTCTCATCTCAGACAGGGGATCCAGAAAGAAGGGAGGAACCAGGATCACAACCATCCCGTTCCATCACCATTCCCCAGGGGGGCCCGAAGGGGCTGCACCTCAGACCCCTGCTTCCAGCTGCTGCTAAACGTCCCCACTGGGGTCCTCTCCCCCAACCTTGGAGGACTTTCATCGTTCCCTCCTTCAGCCTCATCTGTCACCTGGAGGACAGGGCAAGAAGGGGAGTTTGCCCCCAGTCTACAAGCTCCCCAGCCGCCTCCTCCATCTTCTCTTCTACTCACTCCACTCAGCCTTTCCTCTTCCCCCACCCACTGAGCCAGGGGGGCCTTGGAGGTATGGAAAGGCTTTGCAGGGGTAGAGAGGGAGAATATAATCCTCTTTGCTCCTGAAGGGCCCCTAAACTTACCCAGGGAGCAGATACTTCCATCTACCACTTCCATTAGAAATGCCCTCAAAACATTAATATTCCTCACGACTCCCCACCCCCAGCACATGATGAGTCAGAAGTGAAGCTGCCTGGCCGCAGTGTCCCCAGTCACTAAATTCACTCTACCACTTCTTTCTTTCTCCTCTCCCTCCAACTAGGGGCTCCTCTGCCTTCCAAGGGTTGGTCCTCCACATGGGCCACTGAAACAAAAAGCAAGAGGCTGTGTGCCTATGGGGCACATTTCTGTTTTGAGTGGGCACGTGCACCCATCTCTGAGCACGTCCATTCTTACCATAGGTGCCCATCTGTGTGTATTTGTCTGTGCATGTGTATGGGAGATTGTACGTACCTGTCTATGTGCTTTACTGTGTTTGTACCCATTTGCCTCTGTGTGCCTATACATCCCATCTATGTGTGGCCGTCTGTATGAATGAGCATGTCTGTGTGCATGCATATTTGCCAACATGTGAGTTTGTGTGCCTGTCTTGCATGTGTGTGCACGTCTCTATACACCTATCTGCATGTGTGTGCCTGTCTGTAAGAGTGAGCAAGTGTGCACCTGTCTTAACTTCCTACCTGTGGACCTATCTATCTTCCTGCCTCTCCAGCCTGTATCTCAGAGGACCTCCATGAAAAGGAGAGGAGAGAGGAACCCAGACAATAGGGAGGGACCAGAGAGATTGGGGGGGGCGGTGGAGAGACAGGATTGAGAACTCATCTTTTTATAGAAGAGGAGGAAAGTCATAGAGCAAAAAGGAGGAAATGGGGGAACAGCAAGGATACTTTTATAAGGGAGAAGGGGAGGTCTGCAGTTCTAATCTGGAAAGAAGCAGGAAGAAGAGAGAATAGAATGAATCACAGAATATCAGAGTTGGGAGGGCTCTTGGAACATAGAATTGAGAGACAGAAAGGACCTCAGGACAAAGAATACAGGGCTTTAGAGCATTTAATCCAGCCTCCTTGGTTTTTCAGATGAGGTAATTGAGGCCCACAGAAGGGAAAAGTTACTCCAGGGTCACATAGCCAATCAGCCCTGCTGAGCTCAGGGAAGGTATAGGCTCCCTCATCTTTCATCACCCGAGGCCTGGATAAGGGGGGCTCCAGGCAGTCTGTGCCCTCCTTGGGAGCAGGAAGGCACTTGGGGCATACTAAGCCTGAGGAAGGCAGACCTCATTTTACACAATGGCAAGCACCTGAAGAAGTCCACCATTCTCTTCGGTACAGGAGGGGAGCTCATTTATAAAATACTTCACTTTCCCCAACTCATTCCAATGAAGCCTTTCAGTGAATTCCAATGTCCATTTGGCCAGTTTGCTCAAAGCAGGACCTACCTACTAGAAAGCAACTACCCAAAGACACTAATGGGTGATATTAGACCAAATGTCCTGAAGGGGCCAAAACTGCTCCCCTCATAGTCTCCTGGGTCCCAACCTGGAAGCCATCTGCCTTCAGCCTGGATTACATAAGGGAAGAATGCCATATGTTTGCAGGCAGAAACGAGACTGAGATGAAAGACAGAAAAGAGCCAGATTAACAGGGATCAGATTCTCTTCCTATCCAGTGGAGAGGTTCAAAACCAATTAGGATACATCTCCTTTCTTTCTTCTATCCTTTCCTAACTTACTAAAAGGTGGGGATATTCCTAAGGCCATCTGTTCTTTCTCCCACCAGGGTCAAGGATCAGAAATGCAATATGCAAAAAAAAGGGGGGGAATATTAGAGCTGTGAGGCACCTTAAAAGCCATCAAGCTTAATCCCCTCATTTTAGAAATGGGAAACCTAACGGGCTGAGAGGGAAGGGCCTTGGCCAAGGTCACATGGTGAGCCAGTGACAGAGGGGATGACTGTGTTGCAGTGGTAGGGTTCAAATCCTGGTTCTGCTACTCACAGCTTATATTACGGGTGAATATCTAACATCTCTTGGTCTCAGTTTCCTCATCTGGTAAAATGTGAGGTTGGGACTAGATTCCCTCCAGCAATAAAACTATGATCTTCTAAGTGAAACCCAGGACTCTAGAGTCTTGAGACTGAGACAGCACAAAATAGACAGGTAGACAGAGAGCTGGGGGTGGGGGGAGCAGAGGATCTGGAAGGACCAAAGGGCTGGGGGCAGGGAGACAAGCAGCCAAACCAAGGGATCATATATGGGGAAGCCCCAGTTTTCTGTTACCACAAGATCATACCCCACCCCTTTCTTCAACATCCATTCCTTTTTCTAATACTTGCCAAGGACCAAAGTTGTAGGACATTGCACCTGTTTTCCATTCATCTTTGCCTTTTAGAGAAGAGCACTTGTATCAGATGAGGAAACTTTCTCTCCTTCAACCCCATTCCCACTCCCTTCCAGCCACTGCCCCCTGTGACAAGCATTTAGTTTGCTGCCTTCAGTAACAGGACCTTAAAGCTGGAAGGACCTCAGCTCTAGCTCAAACCCCTCCTGTTACAGGGAGGAGAAATTTCAGCCCCAGGATAAGGGACTTGCCCAAGGTCACACTTTGAGCCAGGGTACAGAGCTGGGACTGGAACCCAGGTCTAGGGATGCCCAGCCCAGGGCTCTTTGAACTGCTTCCCTCCTTCCCCAATGCCTCTCAGTCCCTTTCCTAACAACTCGGGCCCCCTGACTAGAGCAGAGAAGGCTTTATTGGGGGGAGGGTGTGCCCCCATCCCACCATACCCCAACCCTTGGCCCCAAGAACAATTCCACAAACAAGTGTTTGTCCCTGCTACAGGACTTCTCTGGCATGTGGTTGTGAAAGAAAACACCTTCTACCTGGGACAGCAATGATGCCCTGGGTTCCTCTGTAAATATATGAACCAGAACAAAAGTGTTAAATCGATCATGGATGCATGAAATTGAGATGTTTTGCACTATTTTGACTTTTTGGTCTCTGTAAAAATATTTTATTATTAACGGACATTAAAAAAAAAAGCACACCCTCTCAGCTCTCAAAACCCTCAACTCCTCCTTTTCTGCCCCAACCTCATTAATAACGGAAATGCGATCTCAGAATGCCATAGCTGGAAGAATCCTCAAACAATCTGATCTAGAATTATGATTTTCTTAAAGGCAGGTGAAGGCACTGGGACAACACATTAGTCTCTGCTGATCCCTGCTGGGTGTTCTACCTTTCTCTCTCCTGGATTTCTCACAGCTGACTCCTGCTGAGATTCAGCTAAAGTCCTCAGCTGAGGGGTTTCCTGTTTCCCATATCAGTACTGGCTTTTGCCACCTCTCTTAAGTAAGAGATAAGATGTTTCAACCATTTCAGTGAAAAAGGCAGGCCTTTTACATACCCAGTTGTCTCTATGAGGACAAGGAGGTCTCGGAGCCTTCCTGTGGCAAAGCTCTTTTGCAACACAAAACAGGAAGCCAGTTAATTAGAATCCAGGGGCATTTAGTCTGTCTTTTTGAACTTTTCAGTCCTACTGGCAGGATTAAAATTTCTCCTAAGTTTCTATCTGACTCAGAGCTAGAAAATCCTATAACTCCTATTTAATCCTTTATGAGGATCTAGTGTCCCCAAAACCCATTTCAGGGGGCTCTTCCAAAGAAATTCCACAGGAGCT